ACCTACGACTATGCTAGTGCGCGCGATTTGAAAGTTTGCCGCCATTTGAAAGTAATGCTCCACACCCCAAGTTGAGTCACCGCGCCGCGTGGTAGCTCAGTTCAGTGGGAGTGGGCCGTGCCTCTCCATTAATGACTCGTATAACATTTGTGACAGTTCTAAGCCGATGTGCGTATTAGAACGCACGATCTGTAGGGGATTTCATTCAGATTTCCATTTTCAGAGTATTTCGCATTTACATTGTAAGGAATGGAAGCGGTCGTTGAAGTGGTTGACATCTCGGATTTCTTGGATAAACATCAAATCGGGGGTTTCATCGGAAAGAAAGGCTGGAACTTAAAAAGGATCGAGCAAAATAATAAGGTGGGTGGATTTTCGAATTTATTGCGACTAAGGCTGCGTTCATACCGTGCGACGTCGTCGTCAACGTCGACGTAACCTGCGTTTTCTGCGACTAGTTCGTGAAGATTATATACGTATCGATCCGACGAAAGCTGCGTAAGTTGCGTAACCGACGACAACTTCACGAAGATTAGATACCTATCGATTCGACGGAGCTTAAGCAACTTACGCAACAGCTTTCGTCGTATATAATCTTCACCAACTAGACGCAGCTTACGCAACTTACGCAGCTTTCGTCGACGTTGACGACGACGTCGCACGGTATGAACGCAGCCTAAGGAGAATCGGCGTTTTGGGACTATGCGCGGTAGGGGAAGTGCCGATGTTTCGGTGCCGATCGATATCTAACTCGGAACTCCACTTCTCGCAAAACGCCATTTCCCGAGTTGCAAGGTATAAACGCAGAATTGCTGAAGGCTGCGTTTATACTCTACTTACACTACAATGATATGCCTGTGTGATGCAGGTCATCATGCAAATGGAGCAAGATCATGAGAATGATTGCATAAAAATACGCCTCACTGGTATGCCGAACGCTGTTGAAGCTGCAAAAATCGATATCCATGAGTTACTGCTTCAAATTCTTCGTGGGTCGTTCTGCCATACAACAAAAGTACCAAAGCAATATATCGGGCCAATTATAGGTTTGTTTATGCTGTTCTTTCAACTTTTTCCTCGGCCTGACTACTAAGTGCTACTAAGTACCGGCAGACTGTGTCGACTGGCATTTGGTCTTTTCCTAATAGTTTGGTGCGGCCCCACTCGCCTTTGTCTTTCTCGGCAAGCGAGAAGACTGAATCTTATCGCTCGCATCAGTCGTTTTCTACTAGCTGTTGCCGCTTACCCACTTCAGCAGCCGTGGGAAAACGAGCTGGCGGCGCCCACGCAAACGCAGCAAACGCGCCACGCGACCGCGGCCACGCCCCGTCATCCGCAGCTAATAAGGTTGTTAAACGAAAGACTCAGACGAAAGACTTTACGTATAATGAGACGTTGACTTACGACAGTTTTTATTTGCAACACTGGTTATGCTGTCTGCCATCTTTGGGTGGAAAGCGTGTTGCTGACTGCACATGAAAGTCCGGCTCCCCATGAACATCTGTATTGCAGGTAAAATCTTTCAGGTAAAAAAGGAACCAGGATAGAAAACATCCGACTCACGACCGGTGCACGTGTAAACATTGGTGGTACGGAAAAGGATGGTTTCACCACCCTGAAAATCATTGGTGAGGCCGTTTCTACTTCGCTTTCGTTGAGAATTCCTCTGCCTGATTGTGTCATCTTCAACCAGGCGCGGTTGCTGTTGAATATAACCTGTCCTATATAAGACTGGAGGGGGGGGAGGTGTCGAGGGTGGGGAAGCTGTGTTTGGCCCGGCGTTGGCCTGTTTTCTACCAACCGTTTTCCACCAACTGTTATCGCTTACCCGCTTCAACACTTGGTGAAGAACGAGCGGACACTGCGGCATACCCACCCCCACTCCCTGACACGCCCCAGCGTCTGCAGTGAAAACGACTGCACAACTCAGTGTTGTGAACCAATCCCTCCCAAAGAGTCTGTTAGTAAGTTGTTAGTAGTAGTGCCTGTCCCTCGCCTTCTCTTCCTATCTAAAACGTTATGTTGGTCAATTGTTGCCCTCAAGAATTGTTGTTTACTGTTGTTGTTGTTATTGTTGTTGTTTAAAAACTAACTGTTAACCTATTTCTGGTTCAGGTAACTTTCACCAGATAGTTGCCGCAACCAATATGATAAAGGAACGAATAGATAGCGTTGGAGCAACGAATTCTGTTTACGAGCGTCCAGATCGACAAGAATTCCACGAAGTGTTGAACGAACTGATCGATGATTATTGATTAGGCACTAATAAATGAATTCTGATCTGAAAATTTGCGAAATCATCCTGAAAAGAACATGCACGAGCGAAGAGAAGTGCTGGGCGTCCAACTAAGTCATTTGAGTGCGCCACGTATTCTGCTTCCATTCAAATTCGTAGGATAATTTGAGTGATACCATTCACGGGAGAGGGACAGCGCAATGCGTGATTTAAACAAATGATTAGTCGCAAACTAATGCTAAGGATGATGGAGCACTTCGTACGTTGGGGAATCTCCAAGGCCGGGCAGAGGGGTTGTATTTGGTCGTCGGAGGGGCGGGGCACGTACTGGTATAACGCACTGGTATAACGGAATTTTTTGTTGATCACTGGGTTCTTCTTTCTTCACCGCCCTCACCAACGACTTACAGTAGCCTGTCGTTCCGACTGCTGTTCATACTTCCACTATCAACATAGGTGAAGAGATATTACTAACCCCCTTAGGGTGATCAGACCTTCATCCAAAAGGAGCGATGTGCAGCGAGTAAAACATTACAGATCACTTATGTAATCACCTACCGTCTGCTAAACAAAAAATCCACTGAACTACCAGGGATGCATTTTTTTTATTTTAGAAGGAAAAGAGGATATATCCGTTCTAGGACCACGACTATATATCCCTTTCACTCTTTCACATGAAATAGTTTCTGCTCGCGGGTAAGTTTTATCACGAGGTCAAGACATTTAAAGTATACAGCCCCTGCCTCCCGTGACACAACCACTTTCTTACGCACTCCCACGCTTTCTGCCCGTGTTCAAACTACACTCCACCACAGAGGCCTGTGCTCCGGGAAGAGCTAAATCCTTTCGCTTACGACAACTCAAGGAATGAAACTTTTGACTTGACTTGAAAAGCAAGCTAATTTGTGAGATGCTGGCCACCCAGCATCCTGGCTGCCAGCGTCCGCAAATGTTCGTCAATATGAGCGCACGCACGCACTATTACAGACTACTATACCGGTTCATGAGCGAAACTCTAGCTTGCTTCTGATTTCGGTTTTTCTCTTCTCTTTCTAAGTTGAAGCTCAAGGCGATATCACGTGGAAGGTGATAATTTGTTAGTCCTTTCAAGTGAGATGCCTTATTTGCTGAGAATGCGGACTTCCAGAGATACTTCGCAATAGTACTCCAAATTAATCAAAAAAAACACTGAGTCGTTACCAGCACTCAACGCAAATATATTATCGACCCTGAATATTGCCTAGGTTTGTGTGTGGTTTCCAAAAAAGTGAACTTTACTCCTTAAAAAGAGCACCGTAGCTCTAAAAAAATTGATGCTTACATAGTGACCCCGAAGCTTAGAGATTCTTAAGCGACTTGTTCCATTTGTAATAGCGGTTGTGTTCTCCTTATTTTCTTTCTGCTTATTTCACGATATTTGTGACACCGCATTATTGACCTGCCGAATAATCGTGAAAAATCCAGGACTATGAACCGCGCTCTGCAGTTGTTTCGTCCACAACTGACCTCCGTCAGGTTATGCTCAGGCCTTACGAAAATACCGGCTCCTGGTCAGGTTACTAAAGAGAACGCGCAGTTCGACGAAGTCACGCACACAGGACAGGTAGGAAAAAATTTGGTTCAAGCATCTTGTTAAGATCCTACTATATAAACCACAGAAATAGTGCGTTACTTTTCCTCTCGAACTCTTTTGCTGTTTCCAGGCTTGGGATCAGGCTGATTATCGTCTGCAGCGGTTTGACCTCTCGAAGAAACAGGTGAATTAATCTTGCGATTTGAATGAGTAATATATTTTTTGTAAAAGAAGATCCGATCATGCCAGAAGACCCACGTTGCGGCCGTCACGTGTGCGGCAATCGCACCAGGGCCTAATTGATTGATCGCACAAGTACAACATTGCCTCGTTATCGGATAGGTCGGCAACAAGGATTGGCGATAATGTAGATGGAGGAGATACCACTAGTCAGCATCTGCGTATCCCCTTCCCTGATGAAGGGTCAGACCTAGTGGAGGCTATATCTCCTCTGCGGGGCTATCTCACGGCGACCCTAGTCGTCTGCACTCTGAGCCCCTTTTGGGGATGGGATATAGAGGCGTGGTCGAATGGTTTCCCTCCTTCCGCCCACCCAACTACATTGGCGCCTGAAGGTTTCCGACAGGAAGCAAAAAAGTGCTGTAATAACTAGGTGGATTTTCTATACCATTTGTGGCTTTGTGTTTTCTCAGGCTGGCTTGTTTTAGGTCAATCCGAACATTGCTATGAACTTGATCGCAGAACGTCCCGCTCAGGACTGTGGTAATGAACGTATCGTCTGTTGCGATGGTGGGCACCCAGCTCTAGGACATCCCCGAGTATTCATAAATCTGGTGAGTCGACTTCCGTTCAATTTTTTTTTCTGAAACGTAACCGTTCGCTGTACGAAATGACAAGTTTGCACAAAGTTATACGCGTTCAAATCCTCACGCCCCTTATTTCCTTCTTTGAAAGACTTGCTGCGACGATGAACAGCGTGCTTGATCACTCAATTTCTCTTTTGATAAAATTGTACATTGAGTGCGCTCAGGGTGTGCTCATTCCCTACGTTGTTCGAGAATGGGATCCTCGGCAAGGACCAGGCTTTGATGACTTCGATTCTGCTTGAAGACAAAGTATGATACATCGATAGGCGTATGAGGTAAATACGCCTAGCACCAATGAACACCGTGCCTCATAGCAAGCCCTACATGGCCTCTTTGCGGTCTCTAAAGCGTCTCACCTAAGGCTTAACCTGCCGACCCATACACACACCAACACTGACACGCCCACAATTTGCCGTACAATGGTGCATTTTTCGCGTAGCTTCATGTGTCTCTAATTGTCGTCGTGAAATGCTTAGACAGAAATGGAAGCCTGTTTGGTTATGGTGTCGGTTTCCGGGTCAATACATTTGAGCCAAAATTTATGGGAGCATATTTTTTTATTTCCATACACTTGAGGGTGTGCCAAATTTAAGGGCATGCTCCGCGTTCATTTGATGTTTAGACGCCTTCTTAGGACATGGTTATCCTGTCCGCAAGCAGGGGCGATTTAGTACATTCGCAACTCAAAAATAAGGGAAGCGCGACGAGCTCGTGACGATGCCGCGGTACCACCCACTGGCCGCGGCAACGCCCAACTTCAATTTCTGAAGGTTCTCTGGTGGTGCGGTTGTCCCGCTACCAGCTCTCTTCGTTTCGAGTGGTGATAAGGAGAAAAAGCTGGGACGAACAAGTGAAGGCTCGTCCGGTCCCGCCTTTTCTTTGCCCCATGATGCACGCAGTAGGGCGATTCAGCCGGGGTTCTATATGTGGCATTTCTAGCGTTTTTCTACTTTCTCTTCAGCTTTTTTGTGATTCGCTAACATATCTCTTGTCGTTAGTATTCGCCAGTTATTCCAAAGCCCAATTTTGAACGAGGTGTGGCTTTCAGTATTATAGACAGCACGGTCCATCCCCATTCCTCTAAGATTTGATTTTAAGGATTATCATAATGAAAGCTGACAAAATTCCTTCTCCTTTCCAGGACAAACCTGGAGTTCATGCCTGTGGTTACTGCGGAAATCGTTTCTACAACTCACATATCACTAAAGGCGACGATATGAAGATCGAACACTTGAACTGCTAGGATTATGTGTGATGTATGTAGGTGTCAGAATGTATACGATCATAAATAGAGGGAAATTATGTGTCGTTTGAAACAGTTCTGTCAAATATCCATTTATCAGAAAGCTATAACAATATGAACTCGAAAATACAACTCATCACGTTAAAATAACAGTAGTGACTTCGTATTTTTGTGCTTAGCTCTACTTTTACTGGACTGAACTGCTGAACAGTGTTCATAAATAGAGTATAACAAAAAATAAGGTAGCAAATGAATTTTTACAGTTACAGCGTTACGTAACAGGATTTCCGGACCACAGAAGGTGACTTCTATTCGCACGAGGAAGCTGTCTCGTGTGCGAATAAGAGCTGACGGCCCGACTGATCAGAACACAGCAAGTTCATACCTTTTGCGATTGTACCCCCAGTTTCCGAATTATGGGCAAGGTACTCAATAGGAGACTATATTTGTTTCGAGCAGAGCATTGAAAATCGCAAAGGGAATGTTTGCTAACAACGAGCATGAGGAAGATCATCACATTGATACATAACATTGAAAAAACTAAAACAAACAAACATGATTATCTGACTAATGAGGTCGAGCAAACATAATTTTTCGGAAAATTCTAAGTCAACACTATATTGTTACACTCAATATCTCTGAGATAAGGTAGGCGTGGTTGCGTACATGCATTGAACGTGGCAGTGGCCAAGGATTTCGTGAGGATTTTGTTGTCCAAACAGAATAATCCGGCAGTTTTTCTCAAACCAAAACATTCCACGAGTAAACCATCCTCTGCAACGTCCAAGTGCCACGCCCACTCCGTAACAGGGAAGGAGTGTAAATCGGTGACATGAAATAGAGGTACTGAACAAATACGAAAAAAAACTGCTCTGTTAACACCAGCTGTATGTCTCTATGAATACATTCTCAACCTCAGGAGGCAGGATCCCGTCGCATACCCCATATCAATTACATCTATGGACAACAACTGTGATCCCACCTCCAGTAAGCCGAAGTTGACCACTGTGGTATTTGGAGTTCATGGCTTCTCGAAATACGAAGCGTGTGTTTTAGGCTACGTTTATACTTCGCGACTCGGTGTTATGCGAGGATCAGCGATTTGAGCGAAAAGGAAACGTATCGATCAGCGTGGGCAATTACCCCGTTTGGGGAAATCAACTTTTTGAGAGAGTCACCGTTTTCAAAGAGCAGACGTTCTAAAGAAATCAGCGTTATCGCGATGATCGACTCCTAGCTCTTTTCCGCTCAAAACGCTGACTCTCACAAAACGCAAGATCGATATCTATACTTTCCTTTCCGCTTGAAATGCCGATTCGAAGAGTATGAACGCAGCCTTGCGGGCGTGCGGGTACACGTCGTGCGTCATCCGCGGGAGCGACTAACCGATACAGGCGATGTAACGCAGTGAGTGACCTACCTGCCACTATCACGTCGCTAAAAATGTGAATACCCAGCTCGCACATGAGTAACCCGTTACACAATATCGTGCGCACTCCCACTGGCTTATCTGCGGCGCGCGCGACGTACGCTGTTGACTCGTTTTTTTTTTAGATTCTTGATCTTATCAGTAGTACCACGACCGGTCCTACTGATAGTACCAAAGCCACTACACTACAGTACATCTGCTTCGCACAAAGTAGCCCATGAAGTACACAGTACTCTCCTCATCATTACGGACTGTCGGGGCGGTCAGTGCTTGCTTTTCGCGGGTGCCTAAGTGGTTCCAAAGTCTTTCTGCACCAGTTGTTGAAGCGAGCAAATGACATGACAGCATTATATCCTTCGTATTACTCGTTTTCTACCACTTTTTGTCGTTTCAACGAAAAGGCTGAGAACGGCTTCAAACAGTGTGCGCACTCCTACTGGCTGATACGCCCCGACAGTCCGTAATGATGAGGAGAGTACGTTCACATACAGCTGGCGAGTTCATTTACTGACTGATCATACTTTCCTCGTACTACGATACCGATAACAACAACATGCATACAATAACCTGGAACACTAACATTTACCGTTTCAAAAAAACCCTTTTTCCTTGTACATACTTCCATTCTGTCACTCTGTGGCGTATCCACATTTTATTCCCGGCTTTTACTTCATGGAAAAGAATGGATGCTTAATAGCTTCACCACAGGTTATTCGCTTCGCTGGTTCCAATATCAGCATTTGCTCCAAAAGTGAGCGGAATGAATGGACCTAAGAACGTTAATTATGAATACTCAAATGAGAAAAGGAAACACATCCGACAGACCTGAGATATTCCATCACGGTCAAGATCTTGCTCTCCCAATAGTTCCAACTCCAAATTCCGAGTAATTCTTATGTTGGATAGAACTGTGACCTAAAAAAAGTCGTCAACTGAACAGAACCAATGTCTCGGTTACGTGAGTGCTTTAACTTCTTGGCCTGGTCCTACGGCGAAAGGAGAGCGTGGAGACAGATAGAGCATTGGAAGGTGCGAATAAACAAATGATGACCCTGGAAATGGGCTTTCGAAGTGGGAGGGGGTCCAGTGTCGGCGAGTTCTCTGGGTGAGATGTTGTGCGCGAGGACCTAATAGCCATAAAACCCTTTGTAAAGAAGGAGAGCCCAGACAGCCAAAGGAAATTGATGCTTGCTCATATAGCAAGTATACGCGGTCCAATACGTTACCTTTTCAGGGATAAATAACGTAACTTGACGCCACATAACACAATAATAGCGTATCATTGATGTGTTGCGACATCATTAACGATACAATAAAGTTTACCTTGTCAGTAAAGAGATATAATGTCTCAAGTCCACAGGACCGAACTTGTTCAATCATATTGCAACTATTTTCGGGACAGTTCGGGGGGGGGGGGGCATTTTGCACTTTCGTTGCTTCACTAGTTCCGGTTTACAAGTCTCACTCTGGAAACCTGTGAACTCTTGTGAAGCTGGAGCAAGCTCGTCTAGCCACCATGGTGAAACCTGTCAACTCTTGTGAGCTCATGAAATAGCTCTCCAGATGGCTCAACACATCGAGGGAAGTAGCAAAAGTGCAAAATGCCTCCCACCCCGTCGCCGAACTGCGCCCAATTTTCTGCTCTCATCTGCGCTCTCTCCTTTAAGCAGCGTTTGATCGATGACCTAGACACTTCATTATTCAAACTAGTACAGCAGTCCCCCCTAACCCTGATAGGAACATCCCCGAATTCGCTATGTTCTGTCGCACCTTTTTATGCTCTGACGGTCACACTTCCCTATCTCTGTACAATATCTTCTTTCGCGGCGAGATAATGGCAGAAGGTCACGCAGTCATGTAACTCCCTCTGATCTTACCTTGTCTCGTTGGGTAACTTTGTCGACTTCATGGTAGAGGAGGTTGCAGTTGGCGTCGAAATGTTGATCGCGGAACTGAGCTCTTCGAACAAGCTTGTTCGGATACTTCCCTTTCACCTCTGTGAAAAGCTGCAAAGGAACAAGTGAAAATTAGGTCGAGGGAAGTATTTACCGCCGAAAAGAGAAGC